TTTTTTTTTTCGATTTTCAATTTGCACATTTCTGATTATGCGAAAACCCAATCTGCCCGTTGTAGAAGAAGAAACAGAAAAACGAAAAAGGCGAAAGCACTGAAGATGCTTCCGGTACCACTGTAGAAGAAATCAAAGAGGAAAAAGCCGTTTCTTTAAGGCCCTTAAACATGGAGGACATGAGGCAGGCCAAGAACCAGGTACCTTGCGAGACCTTTATTACTAGATCATCCCTCGAAAATTGCCAATTTCATCGATACACTTAATGGAAAACAAATAAATAAATGTTTTTTTTTTTTGTATATTCACAGGTTGCCGCCAGTTTTGCAACTGAGGGATCCGTAATGGCTGAGCTAAAGCAGTGGAACGAGCTATACGGAGAAGGAGGCTCAAGAAAGAAACAACAGTTATCTTACTTCCTATAGAGCTTTACCCATTAATGACGTAAAGAAAACTCACATCAGCTTTTCTCGGGGAATTTGGCCAAGATGCTAGAGAAAAAGTAACACGACCATTTGTACCAAAAAAAAAGCCGAAGGACCTGCCTAGATGCCGTTCGATGCTAGTTTACTGTCCATTGGATTTAGCGTGTAAATTGTTTCACTTTGGAGTGCATTTTCTCTGTATGTGCATTGTTGGAGAGGAGATTGGAAGTTATATAAATATCAGGAATTCAGGATTGTATTATATATGTAACTAAGAAGGAAGGGAATTGCCTATGTCTGTACGGTTTGTGCAAAGAACTTTAATGAAGCACTGTGATCACGGGTTGGTTAAACTTTGAAGCATTCTGAAAATGATATCTTGAGTCCAACTGCATGGATACATTGAAATCATATTTTCTGAACATACATGGATAATTTAGAATCAAATGTTATATTCTTCAAAATAACATACATTACAAAAGCTAATATAAATAAAAATATACAGAAGTAAAAATATGAATTTTTATTTAAAAATTGGACACTTATTAGTCTATATCTGTATCTACATTGTAGGCAAATAATTTAATACAAAAATATCTTTTTTCCATTTATTTTTTGATTGAAAATAAATCGTTACATTTTGCATTAATAAAAAAATTATATTTTTTATTTATTGCATAATAACTACTACTAATTAATCAGCATTAATCAAATAATTATATTTTTTATTTATTGCATAATAACTACTACTACTTAATCATAAAGTCACCATATATGATAAATGAAAATTGTATATATATAAAAAATTCTATTGCATTTTTTTTTTTCCAAATTATTTACTTAAAACATTTATGATTTTTTAGCTCATAAAGTTTTTTTTTTTTGTTAAAATTAGTTAATTACTTTTTATGGCATAATCAAAGCACTTACTCCTTATCAAATATCAAGTCTAATATTAATGAAAATTAAGGGGTGATTGTTTATCAATCCAATTAAAAAAAAAAATCAATCAAAACTCAAATTTAACTCAACTTTAATTCAATCAGACTATCTCCATTATTATCAATATAATTAAATAATATCAATCAATCATTCTTACACATCACATCAATTTTAATTCAATATCCATACACTCACATAATTTTAACTAACCATCACTTCCAATCATTTTTCTCTTACTTTTATTTCACATCGACTTTAATTATTTTATTTTAAATATTTTTTTAATATATCAACTAAAAACTAATCATACCACTATTTTTTTAAATTAACTATGATTTAAAAAACAAATTAAAAACTAGTTGAATTCATAAATGTCGTAAACCATTCAAATAATAAAAGTATAAAATAGAAAAGTTGTTAATATAATCATCAAGCTTGATACCTTCAGGCTTGGACCGCTTGGTTCAGTTACAGGCTTAAAAAACCGAAAAAAAAAAAAAGGAAAATTAGCCAACAAAAATTAAAATCAAGCTTTCACTGAAGCCCCCAACTCAGAAATTCATGGCTGATCCAATCGACAGATACCAAACGCTAAAGCTTAAAGAATCTCTCTCTGACCCTTCCCTATACGCCCTCGCCTGTAATGAATTAAGCTTTATTCTAAAAAATGCCTACGCAAAATCCCCTAAAAATCTCCAATTGCTTGTTTTTCAAGAAACCCTCTACGCCTTCAGCTGCCTCCCTGAGTAAGCCGATGATACCCTTTTAGTTGTTATTAGATTTCGAATTTTATGATCATTGAAGTGTTTTGTTGTGTAATCGAGTTTCTGAATCGTTTTATGGATTGAATTTTAGGGTTCATACGGAGTCAGCAATTTCTGCTGCAAACTCTCTTGTGCAAAGTGCCGAATCTTCTCTGCCGAAGCAAAAGAGGGCTTTGGCGGTGGCGGAGCACAAGCACGCTGTTGTTGCTACTAAGAGGAAGTGCAAGACGGTTAACGAAGAAAAAGGTTCTTCTATCTTAGTATTTTGCCATGTTTATATGGTGTTTGTGATAATCGTGAAGCTCTGAGTTCGAAATATTTTGTCGTAGGTTGAGGTTTTCGAACAGAACAAAGAAAAATAAAATCTTTTTATCTGTTTTTTTGGAGGTAGAAATGAAATAAAATCATTTGGCTATTAGTATCATTCTTGTGCTGTTATGTGACATATGGTGATGATGATGATTGTGGGAATCATGTAGAGTTACCTTTCTTTTTCTAGCTTCCAATTTGACTCTCAACTTATGAGTTCTAACTAATGGTAAGTTCGATCCTTTCCGTTTGGAGAGTGTCCATACGCCGTTGGATCTCATGCTCTCACACACACACGCATACTTATGCGTGTGTGTGTGTGTTAATCCAACGGTAATAAACCTCTGCCCACAGGGGTAGGAAGTAATTAACCCTATCTAGCCCGACTGGTTTTCTTTAATTTTCAACTTATGCTAAAAATAAATGATTTCCTATAAAAGCACAAGCTTTTATATATTTTTTTATTTTCATTTTTTGGATGACATTTTATTACCCCAACCATTATTTTTGTTCCAGGTTTAGATCTGATTTCGGAGGATGTTCTTCTACATATATTCAGCTTCTTAGATTTGCATTCTCTGGTGAATGCTTCTGCTGTGTGCCGGTAACTATTTAACTTTTTTTTTTTTGGTTACTGAAGATTGTATATTTGTATGTATCCACTTTGTTTTCTCTCTCTTTTTTTCCCTTGATTGTTTTAATATTGCTGGTTATGTTCATTTTCTGGTTTTAATGCGTAGGTCATGGAATGCTGTTGCTAGTGACAACAGTCTCTGGAAAATGTTATTTGCCGTTTTAGTTTCCAGTTTGGATAATGTTAGGAAGGATTATAGTTGCCTGTATGGAGTTACTAGGAATGAGGACAAGTTTAGTGTGTTAGATGAAGTTTGTGCTGGGGTCAGAACAGACTGGAGGCGCACTTTAAAAAGAGCCTTTAAAGGTATGTTTTGTATTTCGGCAGAAAAGGATTTTGTTCTGCTACTATGTTAGAATATATTGTTGAAAATTTCATTTGTGGTTTTACAATTTCAAAAATATATTCTAGCATTCATATGAATACAACCCCATTGAGGTATCCTTACACGAAGAAATCTTTAACTTGTGTTAATTGCAAACTTTATGTTACGTACGCCATTGAGGACGGATAAATTAAAAAAAAAAATCATTTTTTTTTTATGGCCCCAACTTTGTAATAGTGGTTTTGTAATCGACTGCAGAGACTTCTTTTAGCAAATACAAATCTTACAGGGGATACTGTCGGGTTTGCTGTTCAATCGTATGGCTAAATAGCACCAAATGTCCTGATAAAACTGATCCAAAAGATGGGTGGAACCACCAAATTTCGCCTATATCGAGACAGCACGTAAGTTGCTACAAATTTTATAACTTGTACAAAGATGGGAAAACCCAAGGTATATAAAAATAGCATATTTATCGGCTGATTGATTGTGTTCCCTTTTCCAGATTGTTGATTATATTTTAGAGAGCTCGATTTTGGATTCTTCTTCTTCAGACAGTGACGATGATTGTGAAAAGACATCCATCTTTAGCAATAGGCTGTGGGCTTATCGGAGGCGGACTGTCAGATGATCATCAATGTGGTCTCGAATTGTGATAAAAAAAAATGTCTTACACCATTTTTTCGTGCTCGCAAAAAATGCATAGATCTCCATGTATGGTCTCAGTTAATTTGATCAAACTAGAATTCAAAGTGGTACATTCAATTTTGCTGAAAGATGCCATATTTTTTTCAATCAACCATGATCAGATCAACCACAAATTGTTATTTTTCATGATGAATTCAATAGAAGATATGCACCGTGATCACCTTTTTTGAATGCAAACTCACCAAATTGAGTCAAAAAGTCAAAAAAATTGACCAGGTGAATCTCTATAATTCCCCACAAAATCTCAACATTCACATTCAGTAAACATACCAATCCAAAATAAAATCCAGCTATCCATGAAGCCATCTTTAAATTAAAAACTCAAATCTGCTCAATATCAGATGTAATCAAACACAAACCACCACCAGACAAGGGTTCTACTAGAAAAAATATGACCCACAAAAACAAAAAGTTAGAAAACACATCCTAAAACCCGAGAATCTAGTAACGCAAGGTTCATAACATTGTCGAATCTTAGGCGAACTTATGTTTGAGAGGACCTTTCGGAATTTTGCTTAAAACCTTGACATTGAAAACGGCATACTGTTTCTTGATCTCAGCCTCGGCCTTTTCAGCAAAAGCATCTACCTGGTCTTCGTATTTCTCGTACAGCACAGGCACTGAGTGCAGCAAAACAAAGCCTATATAGAAAGGAGTAAAGTCCAGTCAAAAAAACAATGAGCAAAACAGACATGATAAAAATCGTAAAACTTGAGCAAAAAGTGTATAATAATGCACATACATATGTAAAATAGGGTAAGGGAGTTCATGCAACTTCCTAAAAATGATACAACCCAAAGGCCAGCAATCACCTAAATAAAAAAAAAAACAGAAGTTAAATTTAAGGAAACAACAAATGTATTAGACTAAAACTCTGACTATGAAATACCAACAATTTAGTAAAATAATTCAAACATACGGCGAGAAATTTCTTTATATCTCTCCCAGATGCTATTTCTCGAAGAGTGGCGAAAGCACCATTGACTTCAATCCTAAGGGCTGAAGCTACACCTAGGACAATATCCTCAGGGAGCTCAACTTGTGGGATCTTAGGTGGGGACCTGAAGAATAGAGATATGGTAAGATGGTTAAAAAAAATGACATTTAACGGGAGGTTTTAAGGTCAGAAGGTAGCATACTTGTTGATAAAGGAGGAAGCATTTGTCCACAGGAAAGATACTGCAAGAGTGAGAATCAGGATGTGGCAGACAAGTGTGAGCAGGTGATATTCAACCAATTCGAAAAGCACCCAAATAGCGGTTGCAAGACCAAGAACGCCAGCTGAAATCTTCTTGTCCCTCCATAAGAAAATATCAGCCGCTGCCAGTAGGAAAAAAAAAATGTCCGTCATTCTTTCAGTTCAGGTTATAGTATGCAAGTGAAAATGTGCATCACAGGGAACAAAAAAGTGTTTTAATCGAACAAATGATCGCATGAGTAAATATAAAATCATTTTCAACAATCATATGCACACATTTTGTGTTCAGGGTACAAGTCGGATTTCAATATCCATTAATAGGAAAACCGAAAAAGCAAACAAATAATCTACAAAATCTTATTTGTGTATGACAGATAATTCCAATGACATGTCGAATAAAGACACTAGTGAAGATTGACTTTCAAGTATAAAATAATCCTCTCATATACTTTCCAAGGGAAGCGAGAACCTTATGTTTTCAGAAACTTTGGGGCCTAAAAAATCTCCAATACTCGGCTGATATTTTCTATGAAAAGCCGAACATTATTGTTGGAATGAATCATTAGAAACTTGGGAACACAATTTTCAAAAGAGCAGGAGACCTAACAATGTCTTACCAGATAGGCTTAAACAATCCAGATTCACAATTTATAGCCATGTCATAGCAGGGCCCAAATGGAAATGAAACCAAATGAGGTTCATGTTCAAAAAAAAAAGTTCATTTTAACAGCTGCAATGAAATGGAAGCAGACTAACAGTTAACAAAGCAAAATATGCTCAATAATCAAACCTAGGAAGTTACATAATTCAGACTATCCCCAAACCAACACCAGCATTACTAAAACATATACACAAAAGATGTCAATGCTTATATGGGTATCACCAAAAGGAATAACTCTGCAACTCTGCAATTGATGAACCACGTTAATGTATATCTCTGCATCTTACACAGTAGCAAATGGAATATCTCATTTTCACCCAGTGACTACAAACATGTCCCGATCCATAACAAAGTGTAAGAAACTGGGGGGAAAAATGGGTGCGGGCCCACTAACATAAAGCGCACCAAAACGGGGAAAGCCCATATCAAGCCTAAGTGGGGAATCCCAAAACCATAAAGTGGGTCTATTTTTTATGTATGAACGATGTGGCACAACTTACAAGTGATATTCTAACACAAAGCAATAACATATCATATCCCACAATTTTTTTTATTTTTAGTTATTTTTTTTTGTCACAACAACTTAAATCCACAAAACAGTATGAAATGCACCTATCAACTAACCCAAGCAAAACATAACACAAAATTCAACACTTCATCATTAGTTCTAACACAAAATCCAAATACTTCACTATAACAAACAGAACTCAAGATGCAAATATATCGAGATTTCTTCAAAAATAATTGGTAACAGTACAGAATATAACGCATTCATACGTTTTCCACCGCCGAGAACCTTATGCACCGGCTTTTCACGGCCAAAGAGGCGATAGATCTTGGCCTTCACGGCGGAGGCTGTCGATTTGATATCCTCACCGTCGTCAGAATCGGAGGACGAATCGCTTCCATGGAGCTTATCCGTGATCTTGTCTATCAGAGATTCAGCGGCTGTTTCCTTTTGTTCGTGCTCGCCGGCGTGATCGGCCATGGCTTCGGACTTGTGATCTCAATCGCCGCCGGACAATAATATTTCTTACTGTACTGCGAAAACTTTTGTGAGTCGCTTTTGAAAGGGAAATGCAGGTCGAATTATTTTAAGAGAGCGGCTTAGGCTCGGTTTTACGGAGCCTTAGGTTTGTAGGACCCGAACCGAGTAGGCAGGTTTGGCAGCAATCGAGAAAAAAAAATTCCCCCATATACGTTGCGTTGGTGGATTCGAGGTGAACGGACGTTAAAATTTTGACGGCTTTATCTTTTATATATATATTTTTTTCAAAAAAAAAAAATCGTGGACTCTGAAAAGATACAAGAAAAAGAGGAAAATAATTTCATTGATATTTCTACATATGTAAACGAGTTAAATCGAACTCGAATATCAATCAGTTTTAACTAAATAAATTTAAATTTAAATCGTTTACCAGTATTAATGAGTCGAACTTAAATTGAACTTGATTCTTAACGAGTCGAGGTATTAAAATTACATAAAAGATTATTTTCAAGCTCGAGCTCGTTTGTTAGAGCAAAACTCAAGCCATATCAAACCGAACTCACAAACAACTAACTTCATATAATCCCTCTAGTTACTCCTCCTAAGAACAATCAATAATTGTATAAAGTTTTATTTTCTCAATGTTCGGATTAGGAGATGTAGGGGTGAGAATCGAGAGATGAATATATTTTTGTTTTCATCAATAAA